TATAACTGATAATACCCTCCAATCCCATATGGTAGCCCGGTGTGTGTAACGCCCATATTTTCATACCCACCCCTCAGTTATGGTGGATAAGTTGAGGTACATACTGCACCATTTCAATTGGAGACGATTGGGTGTGGTGAGCTTAGCCGATACGCTTGGTAAGTCTGCTATTCATAGTTTTACCATTTGTGTTGCTCTGAGAGGTCTCCCTTTCCTTACATCTCGGTTGGCAATCTCATAGATGTATCATCTTGCTGTCGACGCAACACTCAACTAGACTCACAGTTGGATCTAGACTCAAAGCACGCGTATATACTCACCATGCCACACATCTCTGCTAATCTCCATGGCCCACTTCCACTTCCACTTCCACTTCCTGTTGTGGCGGTTGGTTGCTATGGTCATTTGACAGGCGAGAACTGTCAGTCCGCTGTGATTGACACGGCCAAGCGCATCCCCGACTTCGAGCAGTTGGATGCTGTCCTGGTGTCGAGCTCTATCCTCTCCCGTGACACAGCCAAACGCGATGTATGTGTGCGAGGATCATACGGTACCATACCATAGCAATACATGTGTGCACTGTGATGAAGGCGGAGTATGTGTTTGTGTACCGACATACACTTAGATCGCACGTATAAACAAAGTGACATGGCCTTCCTCTGGTACGTACATTATGTTGTCGAGAGTTTTTATCTAGCGATACTTTGCGACATGGTGCTCTACATACATGTACATACGTACTTGCACAATGCACATATATACTTGCATGTACATACTTCTAGCGATACGAATAGTATTGGTAGCTCATGACATGCCATTCTTATGTAAGCCATTCCTTCTCTATCGCGCATGCATACGTACAAGACCATGATTAAGCCTCTCCGATACAATGTACTGTCAATAACAATGGTGGCTCATGACATGCCATTCTTATCTGAGCCATCCCTTCTCTATCGCACATGCATGCGCACAGGAACACATTGAGAATCTAAAAAAGGGCCTCCAAGAACTCAAAGCCAAGAATCAGAGGTACGTCTAAGCAGTTGAGTGCTAGGTATGTCTAAGCAGTTGAGTGCTAGGTACGTCTAAGCAGTTGAGTGCTAGGTACGTCTAAGCAGATGAGTGCTGGAGCTGTGGCTCGCCCACACCCAGCATGCCTGCCCGCACAGTGTGGTGTGGGAGTAGTGGACACGCATCCTTGTCTTAACTGGCACGACGTTTCAATTGGTATTACGTTTTCATTAGCATTACGTGTTTATTGGAATTACGTTTCAATTAGCATTACGTTTTACTTGGCATTACGTTTCAATTGGCATTAAGTTTCAATTGGCATTCCGTTTAATCGACATTCCGTTTCAGTTAGCATTATGTTATAATTTGCATTACGTTTTATTTGGTATTACGTTTTGGAAGAGATAGACGGCGAAATCTCGGTGACCCTGGCGTTAGACAAACTGTAGGCAGCTCAACAAAAGCATATCCACTTAACCAACCACTGTTATTTACAGAACAAACACGACACACGCAGAGACATCCACATGTAAGCAAATATAAATACATATATATATATATATAGCACGGATACACAAATATATAACACATAAACATATATATATCACATATAACAATATATATAACGCATATAGATGAATGTATAACACCACAAACAAATATATAACACACAAAACAAATATATAACTCATAGAAATAATTACATAACACAAATAGACAAATATGGGACACACATGAATACAAATATATATTACATGTAAACAAATATATAAGCAAGCACTAATTAGGATCAATGGAAGTGGGAGGAAGAAAGATTTATATGTTACACTCAAGCACTGATGGATGTGAGCACCTGTACATAATGCCGCACATATCCATATGCACATATCGCATACTGCACGTATACGCGTTAGATGTATATTGGACCCCTGGCAAGCATTCGCACGCACACTCGCACGCATAATACATATTCCGGACCAAAAAAATAACAGCTGTCGCTAGTATAGTAGACCGAAATAAAACATAAAAACAACAAAAATATATATCACATGTTAACAAATACATAACACAAACAAATATGTATCACATAAAAACGAATGTATCACACATATAAACAAATATATAACACAAAAACATATAAATAATACGCAAACAAACATATAACACACAAATATATATATAAATATAACACATAAATAAACAAATATCACATAAGCAAATATATAACACATAAATAAAATTATGACAAAAAAAATCACATAAACGAATATATGACATAAATGAATATATAACACAAAACAAATAAATATCACAAACGAATGTATAACACATATATAAATATATAACACAAAACAAAATTAATGGAGTAGGCCAAGCAAGTGTTTTTGCATGTGTGTTTGATACGTGATGAAGCATATATCACGCGGCGGGTTATGTTTTAGGTGTGAGCGGTTTAATAATCTCTGCCAATGCAGACCAAACGTATGTTGGCTGTTGAGCCTGATATGTCACGCTCGGGGGTGGGCATACGGTGGGCGGGCTTAAAGCAGGTGGGCTCAGACCCACATCCACGTTGACATATGCACACACTGATATACGGAGGCACATACGCATAGCCACGCGTGTGAATACCTGCATGTGTGTTCTTAGCAGATCTTGTTGTCTGCGTGTTACATTTTTAGCATTCAGTTGATGTCCAGAGCAGAGCTTGTTGTTTGCGTGTAATGTTTTCAACATTCCGTAGAGGTTCATGCACGCACACACTCACTGACCTTATCTACAGATATCTTTTATCTCTACCTGTCCTTCTCTTTTTCCTTCTTTTATATCATTTGTTTTTCTCGCAGAATCATTTGCTTCTGTGGCAGTACGGGTGACTTTCAAGTGGTCTACAACACCGCGCGTGCGTTGGATATGGTGAACGAGGAGTATGTGATTGGGGGAGAACAGTAAAGTTCTATTTATAGATCATAGCACTCTCAGGATTATTTGCTTCTGTAGCAGGAGAGTACAGTGAAGTTGTCAACCGTTTATA